TTCTTAATAAAATAAAATAAAGATTTGTCCATCAATATATTGAGTTTTGTTTTGAATAGTCCATGTGCAAAGTAATTTTCATGATAAAATTAAAAATACTTTTCCTCATCTCAAAAATCTCAAATTTCCTTTGTATAATCCCTAAAACCTCCTAAATGCATTTCAAACATTTTTTTCAGTAAAACTTCATACATTATTAGTTATTTTCTCTACCCTATCTCAAAATGGGATCAAGCAATTCGACCAACCTTGTAACCACCAAAAAAAATCAAAATCACTCGGGATACTTGCAGCTTATGTTATGCTATCAAATTACATTAACCATGAGCTGCTTGCGTACGTGCCTCGTGAACCATCTGTATTTTAAGATTTTAGTTACTTTTACGATAATAGATAAAGAAAAACAAGAAATAAGGTACTTACCTAGTCTTCTTTTTTCTTGCTGTCATGTTTCGAAGAGAGTTAACCTTAATTTTTTATACTATAGATAGTAATGCATTTAAATAATTTTTATTGAATAACATGTAAAAAGTAGACAAATTCACTTATCTCTCAAAATTGTCCTGGCTTTCTAACTATGCGACAAGAGCCATTACAAATTCATCCAACCTAGTTGTTAACTTTTCCAAGGGAACTAATCTTGTACTGACAATATTTTGTTAAGAATACAACATTATAAAATACATCATTTGATAGATGAAAACCTTGACTTTCTATTGGTTATAGGTAATATATAATGAAACTTAAGACAGAACTATCAACAAATTGTGAAAGAGAGGATGACAGGTGGGTGTGGCAGGAGGGGTCTGATTTTCTATTCGATAGCTCTGTAACCAAATAAAATTGAAGACTATAATAATTATGGTTTGTCTGAGCAATAATGATTTTATAGAAAGTAATTTGCATTTAATTTCATACATTTTTGATGGGTGATGTATGAACTAGAGATTATGACATGCTAAGACAAAATGTGTCACATGGGTCACTCTAGTAGAAATTCAGGATTTTTTTTTATATTTCCTTGGAGAATTAAGAACTTAAAACTTATATACTATTAAAATATGGATTATTAGCTAATATTTTATGCTATTCTAATTGGTATAACATAAACAAAAAGTAGTTTAATAAAATTTTGAATGTAAGGCACTAAAACCTTGTGTCATGCTCAGTAAAGAATACCCAGGGCGATAGGGTTAATATGGTGTTGCAGCGAATGAAAAAGATGGTAATCTGATAGTGCCATATCTGGAGAATATGTGGGTGGGGGAGAGCTTCCCAACTCTACTCCATAATCTTGTGTTGCATCAAACGTGCCACATGTGGATGTGCATTGAAGAATACCTTTCTGATTGATGATTGAAGGGCGTTTCTGATGAAGGGCTTGATTTAAATGTTCCAGTTGCTGACTACAGATCTCTGCATTGAAAATTTTCTGTAGATTGAGGAGTTTGAAATGAATTACTCCTTTGATGTACCATTAAATGTAAAGCATTCTGCAGATGGAGTCCAGGTTTTCGGGTTGGAAGTGGTTTTTGTCTAGGACTGAGCCATTGTTTTTTGGCATTTAACACCCAAATTCTTCAGTGAGCATCATAGCTCTACCACTATATAGTTCAGGTTTGAGTAAAAGCACACCTGACCAGGCAATACTAACCACAGAGTGGGATCTTATTAGTAGCTATAAAAGAGAGTCCCTGAAAAGGCAACATAAATGAAATGTTGTGAAAAGACATACCCAAGACAAAGGAGAATGGATGTGTGTAGAATTGCCAATATCCACCTGAGGAAGATACAGCCAGATAGTCCAGATAATAAGTGACAAAGGAATAGGGAGTAGTCCACTTCCAGCCTGAACAATTTCTTCCAATGAACGGCAAAGATTAGCAGCCAAAGACGTGGTGATATGACAAACTTGATGAGAACAAACACAGAGAAGATAGCAACCTTCCATGAATAAGTCTGAATAAACCAATCTAAGGAGTTGATGAGTCCAACCAGTTAGTGTGATAAGTTATAGAACATGCAAAACAGAAGAGTTCCAGAGAATAAAAAGACAGGAACATTGAACCCTTAAGGAGGCAGTACGTGCCACATAACACCATAGGGAGTGAACCCAACAAAGATGCTGACTGTGATCAAAATGGGAGTACAGGTGGGAGATAGAAGGTAAAGAATTGGATAAGAAAACCAAGTGGCTTTCCTGCACAAAAGAGGTAGGGAGGAAAAACAAATTTAGATATATGATGATGCAAGAGAAATGGTAGAGGATTCTGGTAACATTAATAACATAAATATCCAATCAACAATGTCAGCAAACTAGAAGGAAAAGGAAACTTGAAATATACCATCTACCTGACTAACCAGCTGGAAGAAAAAAAGGTGTAGAGTGTGGCAGACCAAAATGAGAAGGTGTCAGAAAAAAGTGAATCAAATTTTTCTTCTTGATTGTAGTCATAGTGAAAATAAGAAATCGCCAGCCAAACATAGAAAACTAGTTCCCTGTGAAATAAGGCCTGTACCTCCTCAGCAAACTAAATGCCTGGATAGTCTTAGAAGAAGTGTTGTCTACCATAACAGGAACTTCCGTTGTCAATACACTGAATTGTGAAGCCATTCCAAGTTACCGTATAATTTGGTAACAATAAACAAAGGCAAAAAAATTGAAACAGTTGAATGCAAACACAGTAAAAGAAAACTGTTGAAAAAGGTATTGAAATGTTAATGAAGAACACTCGTAAATGGTAGTCACATGCAAAAAGAAACACACATCTAACCGATGCTGTGCCAATCAAGAAAGTGAGAATTGAGAGGAAATATCACAGGGAACTAGCTGCCCCAATATAGGTGGCATAATACTATTGTTAGAGGGTGGTAACATGCTATATACATGTTCAAAAGTGCCATGAAATTTGTGGGGTATATAGACTGGTGCACTGAGCATTAAAGTTTTTTACCAATGCTTAAGGAGCAGAAATATGATTGAGATAGTTTTGTGTGAGAGAGGTAAGAATGTATTGGGAATCGCTTTACAAAAGAAAATACATTATGCCTCCCCTACTATCTAATGTCGGAGACTATTCACACCTGTGAAAAATTGAGACAGTTTTAGTTAAAACCATGCTGAGTCAGTAACATCATCTTTCCAAAGATACAACTAAAATCCAATAGGTATGAATATAAAAAATAATTAATACATAAACATAACTATTGTAATATAACAATGTTAGATATAAAGATAGTAAAAAAAACAACTAGCTAGCTTAATATATAGAATCTAAAAGACTTTTATTGCCAGTCTTATTTAACTATATTCTATAACAAATCTTAGATTTGGCTACATGAAATAATAAGTAATGTTCAATCTTAAAGGCAAAAAGGAAACAATATAAGTCTTTAAAAAAACAAAGTTCTATATCAATAATAATAGATAGTATGTAAATATATGAGGTGATAATATGACAAAGAAAGGGATTATAAAGACTAACTAAACTAATAATTAAATGTAAAATTATATATAAGCCTGTTATATAGCTAATATGAACTACATATAATAACTTAACCTAACAGTAAGTAAAGAAAAACCAGTTATGGTCAGTTCACTAAGCAATATACCAAGAAATGAAGGTTTTTAAAAGGTTGTGATACACTGCAAACTTTTAAATCCATAATCTTAAACAAGAACGTTGTTGAATATTCCACAGAATTGATAAATTTTGTATTTAACTTGTGTAATGAAAAAACCACGATTAAGAAAAATGTAAGTTTACAAAGCTTTATCCACAAAATCTCATAATGATAAACAAATTATATTGTGTCTAATACACTGATAATAGTAAACACTGCAGCATAGAATAGGATTTAAAGTTGTATCTACAAAAAATATTCAATACAAGTCTAAAGATGTTATACTTTCATTGTATAGGTCACTTGATATGCCTCATTTAGGGCATTGTGTACAGTCTTAGCTCTATATGTGAGGAAGGACATTGAATTATTGGAAAGAGCTCAGAGAAAGACTACTAGGATGATACACGAGATGGAAAGGTTGTCATATGAGGACAGGTTGAGACTTCAGAAATTGTTTTCTCTTGAAAAACAAAGTTAGAGGGGATCTTATTGAGGTGTTTAAGATTGTCAAGGGAATTTACACTGACAGTGTTACTGTTAGTGCATCATCTTTGTTTCTACTTAATGGTGAGAATGGTAAGACGTACTAAGGGAAACAAATATAAAATTTGCAGAGTAGGAATCATTTTCAGCCAAGATAGTTTTATTTTTCTAACAGGGTAGTTGGTCTTTGAAATGGGTTACTTTTAGATGTGTTGGAAAGAGTAAATTTAAGTGAGTTTGGGAGAGTGTTTGATAAATATTTGAATTATAAGAGCTGGCTTTGACTTTGATATACATAGTTTAATTTAATTTGGTAGACAGGGCAGACTAGTTGGACCAATAGGTCCCTTGTTGCTGTAATACAAGTTAATGGCTACGTTACAAAGCCAATAGGTAAAACAATCATTCTTATGAAGAAATCTTTATTTTTAAACGAAATTTATGTAAAATCATAAACGTTCAATAATTATTTTTGCTTCTCAACGTTAGTAACAGCAGTTACATCCTTGTCCAATATGACTCATTACGAGATCATTATGAACCTGCTATTGAGTTCTAAGACGTGGTACATCATTACACGACATTTTGGGCTGCTGCAAATTACATTGCTAATGCTAAACTTTTATATTCATAAGTTTATTAAATATTACGATATTTTTCATTATTTTGTTAGAATAAGTCACATTAAGTGTCTTGAAGCAAGTTCTTGTGGCTTCTCGTTGCTAATTTCTACATTAGTGAGACCGATACGTACAATTTTCAAAACAAATCTTTTCTAATTCTACACTTTAAAATTTAAATTTAAAGTTTATACTTTCAAGTTTGATTACATTAAATTCAGTATTTTATATATTATAACAGTACGAAGAGTAATTAAGGAAAAATCCTACCTTCTCCGCCGCATTGATTAGCATCTCTACTTCTGTGATACGTAATTTCGGATAACATTTGTTCCAATACAGTTCGATTATATCTCACTTCACGAAAAATTCTACCTCTGCACGCCATGTTGTTATTTATCTCGTAGCAGACGCACTGCATGGAGTACGTACGCCACCTTGTGCCTTTGTTATTGAATTACTGAGTGCAAAAAAACGTTTAGCGTTTAAATGTTACATCAGATTAAAATTTGTAAATTACTAAGAAAAGAAGTCGCAAATCTAAAGCAGTAGTAAGTAACATAAGTCTTTAAACCGAACTTATAAGACGATTCAGCATTTTGATGCATCGCATATTACAACTAGCAATAAATATATACTAATACATATTTTGTTTTGCTTTGAATTCCAGTGCAGAATATGATTGTAAAACCTTAGAAACATATTTTGTTTTGCTTTGAATTCCAGTGCAGAATATGATTGTAAAACCTTAGAAACATATTTTTAGTCTAAAAGTACGTCCACTAACTAGATTAGTAAAAGTATGCATAATTTTAGAATGGTAGGGGTATGGTAATAGCAAAGATAATCGAATCCTCTGAGTGAAAGTCATGAGAACAGCGCTTTCGGGTATGTTTCTTCTTTTCGAGGAAATATACATATACCACATAGCAAGATATACATAACACCAGCAATAATAACAATAGATTAGTAACCGCTACTCTGGACATATTTGAGCACGTTGAAATTTATAACGTTTTTTAGCCTATAATTCATTTTGACAAAAATCCGAAGTACTTCATCAAAGTCAATCTTTTCAGAAAATTATTTTTCTATAGATAAAATTGTTAATCCTGACAGCATTTATTTATCATCCATAATCGGTGATAAATTGTTTGTTTGATTTTAAGACAAACCACTGGCCTAGAATGCATCCATTAGAACAGCGATCTGGCTTTTGAGATGCCCGGCATAGTCAGGTGATTAGGGCGCTCGACTCGCAATCTGCGGGTCGCAAATACACATAGTCGGAAACATTACACTGAGTCTTTCGTAAACGTTTTAAACAAATTCAAACAAATAAAGCATCCATGGGGAATAGTAATAAATGAAAATAATTAAAGAGGCCAACATTCGCGGGCGAATGCAATATGTCTCCGCTAGGCAATCCAAACATGGCCAATTTTGACACTAGAAAAATCGTGAAAAACACAGAAAAGTCGAAAACCGTCTATATCACTGCTTGTAGCCTGCAAGAAGGTATCGTTGTAACAAATCCCATGTATGTTGGTTGATATACACATGAATAGAGCCTGTGATGATAAAAAATGCTCTTCTTATAGAGGTCAGTTAAATGTTCTGGGAGTGGATGTCCTTTCTTTATGGTTGTATTTCTTGCCTTAGCACTGACTGGCTTTACCTCCTGGTGCACACCCAACAATGCCCCTTCCCTAAGTGTCTACTCACATTTAGAGAAATTGGCCACTATTATGGGTACTACTTGATGACCTGCCACAATTGACCTTCCAATCTTCACATCCGCTGGCCCGGATGGGTGTTTCATTGTCTGCACAAGCATTGACCTTCCTTGGGGATGTTCTTTTATTCTATCCCAAATTATCTTCTCTGACATAGAGGATATTGTAGTTGACTTAAGTGTTGTGACATGCAAATCAATAGATGCAGCA